TTTGACAAATTTTTTTTTTTTTTTTTTTTTTTTTTTAAATATAAATGTGACTATAACATACTTTTAATGTTATAGGCAGATTACGTAGATATTTTTTTTTTATTACCTTTTTAAAACTTGTACAGGCATTCTGCACCAATGCATAAAGAAGCCAGTTAAGAAACATGTCTAAAAACACACCTGTAGCCTATGAATGTTGTTGTTCTTCTTCTTTCGGCCGTTAGGGGTTGGCACAGTGGATCATTGGTCCGCATATCTGATTTGGCTTTTTTTTATTTATTTTTTTTTTTAATGCGAGATGCCCTGATGCAACCCTCCCCAGTTTTTATCCAGGCACTGGGAGTGCACTGTCATGTGCAGCACAAGGGAATCGAACCCGGGCCACAGCGGGTAAAGATGTAAATTTAGACCTAGTGTTCATGGTCATATTTATTATTTTACATTTTATTTAGTACATGTTAAATGCATTGGTGTGTCTCAGTGGAGTCTGAGTGGAATCTTTAAATGTAAATTTCTCCATGTTCACCCTTTCTGATCAGTAGCCCAACTTCTTAACCACTGAGCTACCACTGCCCTTGTGACTTGTACTTGTGACTGAGGTACATGCAAAAGAGAAACTTCAGTTCAGGAAAGTCTGTGATTTTCAAAAAGTAGAAAATTTCACCATGTGAAGGGTTTTCCCAGGCAGCTATAAATGGTCATTCCCTCATCAGCCTCTAATTTTCGCTCTCTTTAAGTTAATAAGGAAAAACACAGCTTGTAATGTTACCAAGAAACCTACTGTTACAGACACACTCGAGTAACACCCGAGACTCCTTCCATAAATGTTAAATAAATGTCTCCTTACAGAAACCTTAACCAAGTCCCTGTGAATTAACTGTTACTGTAGAAATGATAACATATTCGAATGAGTGTATTAATATAAACCTGTGACTTGCTTTGCAGCTGGAACTACTGTCAGAGCTGCTGTTATACAAAATTAAAAGTGTAACTTCTTAAAACTGTAAACACATTTAAGGAAGCATCGTCCAATAGTCAATGCTACTACCAGTATACAGCTAGTATCCCATTTATTCACATGTTGCTACAACTGGGTGGCCAGTTCAGGTGCTACTGCATGATAACTTTTCTGAACTGCCACATGCCCCCCCCCCCCCCCCCCCCCTCCCCCTCTCCGAAGTGACTTTTTGACCTTTGGGAATCTGTTTGGAAGGAGCCAATACATTAGACTAGCCTTGATCTCTAAGTATTTATCTTCTTGGAGGCTCTTAAACATGACATACTAGTCTAAATAATTAGTAAATTGTAATGATATTTAGAGTGCACTGTAGATAAACAGAAATCAAGGCAAATGCAGTTGAAATAAACAGTCATTTGGAGTTGTTTGATTCTGACAGAATATGGTGGTCTGGGCCTGGACTTCAGCTACAGTGTGGCTGTGGCAGAGGAACTGGGCAACATCAACTGTGGAGGCATTCCCATGGCCATCGGTGTTCAGACTGATATGGCTACTCCTGCACTGGCCAGGTAACTAAGAGTACTTTCTCTTAAGGGTGGTACATAAAACAAAGCCCTTTACTGAAACAACTATCAACTGGGGTCTTAGTAGGGTCCATACAGTAATCGAAAAGGTACACCTACACATCTTGGATGCACAGCTCTGATTTCAATTTTTGATTTTTCTGCACTCTTCTGTGTTGCTTTGGTGCAAGTTGTTGAGGCAATATCTTTCTAAATGAATTTTCTTTTATTAAAATATCAATTTGTTATGCATAGGTTGTTCATCACCATCTCATGAGGTTTTTGCTTGGAGTAATGAAAGGAGCAAATTGTGCTGAATAATGAATAATGTTCAATTATTGCTATGAGGGATGTAACTGAACTCCATGCCACTGTAGATTTGGATCTGCAGAGCTGAAAAAGGAGTTCTTGCTTCCTTCCATAATGGGAGACAAAGTGGCATGCCTGGGAGTGAGTGAAGTCGGTGCCGGCTCTGATGTTGCAAGTAAGTACAATTTTCCCCCAAGGAAAGAGGCAACAAGGGATCATCATGGATGTACATGAGACACAAGCTTGATTAAAGTGAAGAAAAGCATTTTAGGCAAGAAGAGATGTTAAGCAGAGCTAATTGATACATGCAGTATTTTGTCCATCTGTAGTGTTTATGTTTGAGGAAAAAAGGTAGCACTATAAAGGATTTCTTTCTCTCTCTCTCTCTCTCTCTCTCTCTCTCTCTCTCTCTCTCTGGGGGAACAGTAAAAGGTTCAAGAGAGTTTCCCTTCATTTCAGAGCCTTTTTCGAATGCTAGAAAGGTTAGTCATCTGCAGAACATACTGTTAAGAGAACCTTTTTTCAAGCGCACACAATGCAAAACTGAATTGTAGGAACTCCCAGAGTTTTTCTTAAACAAAACACCATGTTACATCTGTGCACCTTTAAAAGCAGAATCGGCAGGTGTTTCCAGTAACCTGACTTTGCTACCTGGAAACAATTTCCTCTAAGAATCTGTTTTGGAATTTAAACAGAATTTTCTGCAGGTGCCGACTGAAAAAGAAATGCTGTTGTGTTCCAGGCATAAAGACGAAGGCTGTGCGTAAAGGAGATGAGTTTGTCATTAATGGGGGAAAGATGTGGACCACCACTGGAGCACAAGCAGACTGGATGTGCCTCTTGGCCAACACAAGCGATGGGCCACCACACAGGAACAAGTCCCTCATCTGCCTACCCATGAATCTGCCTGGTAGGAGCATATGCAAAACCAGGAAGCTGTTTGTCCTCAGAATGTAATTTTTCAGAGAGCATAGACTCTTCAACCATGAAGGACGAATACTTGCTTATGTATGACCGGTGACTCCTGTTCTGACAGCACCTTAGCTTATCTGTATCTTTACTCTGGGGCTGATCTGTTACAGGAATTCATATTGCCCGTAAGATTGATAAGCTGGGCATGAGGTCCTCGGACACAGCAGAGGTGTTCTTTGAAGATGTTCGCGTGCCATGTAAAAACATCATAGGTCAAGAGGGAATGGGCTTCACGTACCAGATGCTGCAATTCCAGGAAGAGCGCCTTTGGGGAGTGGCCAATAGTAAGTGCAAGTGGCATTTCCCATGTATCACATAGAGAACCTTTTACTCCCTATTACTGAGAGAGTATTTTGAGTATGATTCACTGCCTGTGTCAGTATGACATCACATGAATGACGGCAGTGCTGTTTATGAAACGTAAGGTACAACATCTTAATGTCAACTTAATGTCATTTGAAAGTGTGTTTCCCTTTGAGTTCCACTTCCTCCATGACAGACTGTTTCCAAAATGACTGACTGCATATGTTGGAATGGTCATCCTGTTGAGGTGGAAAGTCTGAGTTTGACTTTAATTATTTTAAAAGTTGCCTCCCTTGAGGTCAGTAGCACATGTACTCCGGCCTGTCTGGGATCCAAATGATTTCAAGCCCATTATTATTATATTTATTATTATTTATACCATAATATACACTTTTCACCATTTCTGTTTGTAATATAAAGTTCTAATGATGATGGAGAAAGTGGTGCAGGAGACGATTACCTACACTCGGCAGAGGAAGATCTTCCAGCAGCCGGTGCTGTACCACCAAGTAGTGCACTTCAGGTTAGCAGAGCTGCAGACTGAGATCGAGCTCCTGCGCTCCCTGCTGTACCGTTGCACAGGTGGGCCATCTCATCGACCTAACCTTTTAAAGCAACTCCTCTGGGACAGACATGTTGTGTCTTTAGCTGTTCTAACACGTCATTGTTTTCATTGAAAACAACATTTAATAAATGCTAATTTAATTAACATTTTAACCCCGACACATAGAAAGCAGTGTCGTCCACATTACTTTGTTGGGCTAATGAACTATTTGGTAGTGTTCATGCATGTTCATAATAATCAGATGGTCCAGTAAAGACAATTTGCTTAGTATATTTACTTACTCATCGGGAAAGAGCAAGTAAATGAAGCTTCGCTCTCCGATGAATGAATGACGTCCCTATGAACTTGAATTGAAAAGCTTGACTTGCACAATTAAAGAATACAGCTTCATTTTTAATTTTCCTTATTGGCATTGAACTGCAGAGACTCAACACAATGCCGAAGTGGGAAAAAAAAAAAAGCCTTAAACAAATCAGAAATCACCAGGCTTTGTAAGCAGTTAAAAATGAACTTCAGTTGCCTTTGTAGCTTTTCACTGATGTGGTAGAAACAGGATTTATAAAAATCTGCCACTGATTTCTCGTCTCTAAATTATAGTCTACCAGTAAGCCTTCCACCAGTATCTGACCTCTAAAACTATACATGTATGAGACCTGATTTTTAATCTCCCTCTAGTGTCTGGTAGATGTGCGTGTATTTCTGACAGACCAGCAGAAAGATGGATTTTGACAGCATAGGAATGAAATGAAACATCCTGATATCACTGTCTTTGACTCACATCCTTAGATGTACCTACCTTGTAAATTACACCTGTAATAGAACATTTTTTTAAGGTCAGAAATTATAGAAGTAAGAGATGATACAGTATAAGATCATGTTCTTGTTACATATTTCATGAAACTTGCAGGAGTTGCCCATTAAGCCAGTTCTTTCTTTTGCAGTTGTACTGTGAATTTGCTCAGTTCTCAAAATGGTGCTAGCAAAATCAAGTTTACTGGGCTAACAAAGTCTGACCTTAAAGCAAATATCTCTAGTGAAGTTCAAATACTATGTTTCAACTTGTATATTTCAATGGCTACTTTGAAATATGTAATGTGAAAAGAAAACTAGCACCAGCAAATACTTCCATGAGTCTAGATATAACACGGTAACTGGTTGGGTGGTGACTGTTTTTTGTTTTTTCCTCCTTTGTCCTTAGCGCTGTACATTAAGGGCAACGATGTGACAAAGTTGGCAAGCATGGCAAAGCTGAAGGCAGGCCGTCTAGCACGTGAGTTAGGAGACAGCTGTTTGCAGTACTGGGGCGGGATGGGCTTCACCAGTGATGTCCTCGTCAGCAGGTTCTACAGGTCAGTCCTCTGCTGTCTCTTTGAACCCAACTCTTCTTAATCTTTGCCCTCAGTCTGTTATTAATACATATTAAGCTACAGTGACACCTAGTGATGTGGCTGATGAAGGCAACAATTAAAAAAACCTGCCTCGAACTGAATTTTAAAAGATTGTGGTTTCTAATACTCTGTCAGTTAAATAAAGGATTAATTAATGCCTCTTAAATGTACTCAAGGTGATTATGTAGTAGAAACTTTGTCTTTTTTATCTTCTCACCAGGGACTCCAGGCTGATGTCAATAGGTGCAGGAGCAGATGAAGTCATGCTATCAATCATTTGCAAGTACATGGACACTCTGCCCAGAAAATAACACCACTATGTAATACCAGTGTCGGTGCGAACAAAGTGTTCTTAACTTAGTTTGAACTCTAGCGCAACTCATTTAATGAAGTAGGTTTTCCATGACAAGATTATTGATTATTACTATTTTAATACAAGATTACTACAAGATTATTAGTCACCTCCTGCCTTAACAGGAAAGCTGGTCTATGTGGGAAACTTGTACTTGTCTAAA